AATAATAAAGGCTTGAAAACTTCCTAAGGAAGACAGTCAACTCTGTGTGTGTGTGTGTGTGTGTGTGTGTGTGTGTGTGTGTGTGTGTGTGTGTGTTTCACATTCTTCAAAATCTAAATACAGTTCTCAAAAGAAAGTTATTACACTGGACTTTTGGTATTAAATGTAGTGATCGAAACTATAGCAATATAGCTTCATTTTCAATGATACTAATGGCTAACTGATACTTGAAATACCAAGGGCTAGCAAAAAGCTCATTAGGCCTTTATGTCCATCTTTGCTTAGAAGAACTGTTTCTTGTAATTGAGACAGCTACCTTAGTTAGTAAACAGGAAAGATTTCTTTGCTTGAGCCCTGCATGACAGTGGCCCATTCCTGCTGGCTCCTCCCCAGGAGTTATCTGGAAGAAAGGCACATAAGCTATTTAGATTAACAGAGAAGGAATCTGCAGAGAAAAGTAAAGTAGAATAGATGTCTAAGGCCTGTGCAGATCCCAGGACAGGGAAAAGGCTAATGAACCATAGCATGAGGCAGACACTATGCTTACCACCAGAAAGCACAGCATGTGAAGGAAACACAGTCAGCAGGAGGCTTGCTCACATTGAAATCTGTGTGATCCTGGGCCAACTGCATCATTTTCACAGGCTGGAGTTTCCTAATTTGTGAACTGGGAAGTTCCTGGACTAATTATCTCCTAGGTGGTCAGATTGTATCATGTATTTCACAAGCTCCAGAACACCAAGTAAATCTCAGTGGTTTGCAGTGTTCCTCCATCCATCATGAAAAGGATGTGGAGAGGGAGGAGAGGACCTCTGGGTTGCATCTGGATGAAGAGGGAAAGAGGATGAGCCAGGGGAAATCACTCAATGAGCACTTCCAAGATGACAGCTACTCCACTGTCCACCCAAAGAAGACCTTACATTCTAGGGTATTTATGATGAGAATGACTGTGTACTGTATTTCTACAAAAGTATGAAAGCTAATTTTCCAGAAGTGTCCTAGTAACTCTTCATTCTATGAAAGGAACAACACACAAATTCATTTGTTAACACTTCTTATGTTCCAGGTGCCATATATATTTATGCATTTAATTCTGATAACCACCAGGCAACATATTATTGGCTTCTGTTTACAATTAGGACTCCAATTCAAAAGGAAATTCAGTCACACATGCAAGCAAGGCAAGTAAGCATGAATTTAGATGTGATCCTGGGAACCCAGCCTGAGGTACACTAAACTTCCTCCCAGGGTAGGTCAATCACTCAAGGTCTACAGACTGGAGCTGGGTTTGGGGGGGGGGGGCAGAACACAATGATTAAGCCCTGTATTACTTACTGGCTACTGGTATTTGGATCTTTTGTGTTAAAACTTGGAACCACTCATGTCTCTGTGTTCGTGGATTGTTTCTATTCAAACAAACTTTTTTTAAATTCCGGTTTTATCTTAATAGTAGGTGTTGGCATTTCACAGTGTTCATATGTGCTTGGAAGGACCAGTGTAGTGATAAGGCGGCAGGGCTGTCCATGTTAGAGAACCTGTACAAACTAAGGTGGAAGGGGAAAGACCCTCAGAGTGCCAGGCTACTCCTTACTCACTCCCTGCTCACCCTTCTCCCTCACCCTGGCCAAACCAGAGGGTTTCATGATGGATTGAGTGTCCAATGCTGCGCTAAGATTTCTTCCCAAGGACAAGACAAGCATAGGAAAGCTATGAAGTCAAAGGATATGTGAAAATGCCATGGTGAACCCCATCACTGTGTATGCCAATCAAAAACTAATTTTAAAAGAGAAAGCTGGCTGGGAAGGAAGCTCCATGAATAGAGTGCTTGCCTAGCTACATACATTCAGTTCAAGTCCAGCCTGGGCTACATACATTGTTTGATTCCTGCTTTACATATTTGTGTGTCAAGAGATATTTCTTTCTTTCTTTTTTTTTAACAGAGCTGAGGACCGAACCCACTGAGCTAAATCCCCAACCCCCCCCCCTTTTTTTTGGTTTTTCAAGACAGGGTTTCTCTGTGTAGCTTTGCGCCTTTCCTGGAACTCACTTGGTAGCCCAGGCTGGCCTCGAACTCACAGAGATCCGCCTGGCTCTGGCTCCCGAGTGCTGGGATTAAAGGCGTGCGCCACCACCGCCCGGCCGAGAGATATTTCAATGGAAAAATCATTTATGGCCTATAGTATGTTTCTTGTTTAATGGAATTAATGTACTTTAGTAACTTTAAATATCTGGTAGTATATCTGAGTATTCTCATGGCTCACCCTGGGTGAGCTGCCCTAACCCCAGTTTGGCTTAGAGGTTGATGGTGCATTTCTCTGGGTAGACCCTCCATTCAGATGCCCCCAGGAGTTTGGGCAGGATTTGAAGGACCTGGTTTGACTGTATTATTGAGATTTTGGCCCTGATTGCTGTACATTAATTGCCTGTTGAGTTACAGAGACGAGCAGTTTAGCTCAGTGCTAGGTGAATCAGGCTAGGCGACTTCAACAACAAACTAGATGTCTAGGCATGCGGACATTGGCCTAACTTTATACAGAACACTAGTGGGGGAAATCAAGAAGATCAATGTCCCAACTCAGCCCCTAGGTAACTCATCACCACAGAACCCACTCTCTGTCTAAGTATCTCAGTATAATGCCTTCCAGTCCCAGTTCCCCTCATACTGTGAAGACAAAGTATGGATTGGGCTTCCTCTCTCGAGACTTCTTCCTCTATTCTCTATTCTTCAGGTCATTGCCCTCCCACAGGAACAAGGCTTTGAGGAAAGCCTTTCTGAGTAACACTTGCATTTTAAAGAGGGACCTGGCAAGGACACAATCCTCAGGGTATCTGTGCCTAATGCTTAAAATGACTCTAAAAGTGAATATTTTGGGGTGGATGGATATTCGGGCACATATTAAACCACATTGTTGTGGTTTTGATAAGAACGGCCCCCATAGGCTCATGTATTTAAATGCTTAGTCACCAGGGAGTGGAACTGTTTAAAAGGTTAGAAGGATAAAGAGATTTGGCTTTGTTGGAGGAAGTGTGTCATTGGGGTGGGCTTGAGAATCAGGATGCAGAACTCTCAGCCACTTACCCAGTACCATGTCTGCCAATGTGCCACCATGCTCCTCACCTTGATTAATAACGGACTAAGCCTCTGAAACTGTAACCAAGCCCCCAATAAAATGCTTTCTTTTATAAGAGTTGCCTTGTAGCTGGACGTGGTGGCACATGCTTTTAATCCCAGGCAGAGGCAGGCAGATCTCTGTGAGTTGGAGACCAGCCTGGTCTACAAAGTGAGTTCCAGGACAACCAGGACTATGACACAGAAATACCCTGACTGGGAAGAGAGAGTGGTGGGGAGTTGTCCTGGTCATGATGTCTCTTCACGGCAGTAGAACAGTGACTAGGACACACACTAGGTTGTTTCTTTGTTGCTAACGTCTAAGAAGCTCCACCCCTCTACATTTAGGACCCAGGTCACCACACTCTGAGTGCAGCTGTCTTCCCACAGCACTTGCTCAATCCTGATCTTTGGTCAGACTAAGACTTCAGTTTGATCCAGCCTGACTTGCCCTTGCATTTAAAACGAACACAGCTGGGCACAGAGACACACACCTGTAATCCCAGTTCTCAGGTGACTGCGGCAGGGGGATCCAGAGTTCAAGACCATCCTGGCCTGTACAGTATTTTCAGGAATAGCCTAAGTGACTTAGAGGGACATTGTATCAAATAACAACAAACAAGCATATTCAGCATGTTACCTGAATACAACATTCTTATTACTTCTTATGTACTTCTTATTACAGCTTTATATCTAGTTTCTGAATGGCATTTTGAGCCATAAACAATTTCTTTAAAGAGTAATAAAAATTTGTTAGTATCACAGAACTATTGACAACAGTAGTTTCAGCAACAGATACCCTGTAAACTGGTTGTTTTTATATTTTCTGCTATGTGTCTTTGTAAAACCGGCAGGACTTGGGGTCTAAGGTCAGGGTCACTGAGGAGATTACAGCCCCTACCTTTAGGAGGTCACAAGGTGGGAAAGGATGAAATTCATGAGGAATCCAGACATACGTGGTTTTTCAGTTTGGTTTTTGAGACATGGTCTCTCTAAATAGCTCTTGCTGGCCAAGAGCTTGCTATGTAGACCATGCTGGCCTAGAACTCACAAAGATCTGCCTGCCTCTGCCTCCTGAGTGCTGGGATTAAAGGACCTTACCCTGCTAGATCCCCCCAGACATGTCTGTGATGGATCAAAGCAAACAAGCAGCTAGGTTCCACGATGTCCTTTTGCCTAGTGTTTAAATGTTGCTGGTGAAGTGTGTCCATTTGTAGCTGAAATGTTCCTTATTTTTACATCTAAAAGGAAACAGAAAAATAGGAATAAAATATTTAACCACGTATTAGGTCACAACTCTGTGAATGCCCTGTGTGCTTTCAAACACCATTGGCCTTCTAGCAAGGTTATAATGAACATGTGTCGAAACTGAGATCAGAATCTACAGCAAACTATAAGATCACAGCTCCTCCTCTAGGCTTGGCTGAAGTGTCCTTTAGTCCCTGCAGGAAGGGTAAGAAAGTGCAAGTCCATACTTTGCTCTCTAAACAGTTTATCACTTAAGGCAGAGAGTTAATCTAACCTGGCTCAGTCACCTGCTGTAACTACATTGCATACAAACAAAGAAGAGACCCCATCAGATCTCACCACCAGGGACACATTCTCCCTATTGTCAGCACATTCTCTGCCAAATCTCTGAACAAGTGCACCTTGTATCAAAGTGGCTAACTGCTTGGAATCTTTGATAACTAATCAAAAGAGGAATTTTTGAGATAACTCGAATTCAAAGGTTCTTTTGCCATACAGAGCACCTGGCAGAAAGCCGGAAAGAGAGGCCATTGTTGAGCCTTCAGCATCTGTAACGCTATCTGTCATCTGTCCCCTCTGCCTTTTCTCATCAAGTTCTGCTGTTACGATAGACCTGAGACGCTGGTGTCTTATCTTCCAACAGAGTCTTTACCGCCATTGCGTATGGTGCTATGGCCATTGGAGAAACACTTGTTTGGGCTCCTGAATATTCCAAAGCCAAAGCTGGAGCTGCACATCTGTTTGCTTTGCTGAAAAAGAAACCAACTATAGACAGCTGCAGTCAAAGCGGGGAAATACCAGTAAGCACAACCAGAGTTTACGTGTTCACTTTCTCAGTACGAGTATTGCTGACAGAGAATATTCTAACATCAGGCACCAGAAGTTTGTGTACAGGAAAGAATTACATGACAAAAGAGGAAGAATGCCTCATTCTAGTCAGATTCTCACCTCTACTCCTGAAATATATTTTATGTTTAAAAAAAATCTTCTTTTAGCTTACATGCCCTACGCCATACAAATGTTCAATGAAAGATTGGTTACTATGTCAAAATATATTTAGACAGCAATGATTTTGGTTTTGCATGAAATGTTGGCTAAATTTCAATTCTTTTTCTCTAATCACATCTGCTAGATGAATAATGCCTTTTATGGCAAACACAGTTTTTCATGGGAAATATATTTGCATAAGAGGAAAAAGGGCAACTGAATATATATTAAATTGTACACACAAGTTTAACTGCAAACATTAAGAGACCATGAGTATTGAAAAAGAAACATCAGAGAGTTAAATAATTTGAAGATATACTTCTTGATAGCAGTCCTGTACATTAAGTACATGTTCAATGTAAAAACCTTTCTAGGCATCGTCTTATGTTTAAAAATTAGAATCATTAGGTATATTCTTAAAGTTTTCATTTAAAACACTAATTGTCTCTAGAATTTTAATAGTGTATTTACTTATACGAGAGTTTAAGGTCACATAGTATCAGTGGAGATGTATAATTAGTAAGGGGCTTGAGTGCATGGCTGGTAACAAAAATTAAAATACCTTCAAATTCTCAAAATGGAATGCTCAAAGATACATCACAGAAAAAATCAAACATATTATCTTTTGGAAAAGTAAAAAGCATAAAAATATTTAAAATCTTGGGGTTTATATGAGTGTAATGCTGCTTTTATTTCTTTCTAAAAGTTCAAAAAGAAACTGAGTATCTCACAGCTGTGTGCTCTTCAGAACTGTGTACATATAAAATCTGAGGAGGGAGAGGAGAAGAAAGGAGAGATGGGATGAACTACATTCATGACACAGAACACAAATACTTCATGTAAAGACTACAAAATTATTCAGTATTTTATCTAATATAAAATATTTCAGATTATCACTTCTGCTTTTAAAAATTGAAATCTGGGCAAATAAATTCCATGTACTGACATATACTAAAACGAGCTGACAGGCACGAAGCAGTCTGTTACATTTTTCTTCACATTTATATAGGATTGAAGTTTTCCATATTGCAGTTAAAATAATAAGAATAAACTTTAAAATGTGTTTAGATTTGGGGTTTTTCTAAAACATCTCTCTGCGTCTTCCCAAAGGCACCAGAACATGTGCAGAATTAATTGTTCTCTCCATTTTCTGTGGTGCTTTAACACTGGGGCAAATGGTATCTATTTATAGGGGCAAAACAGAAAATGAACAAACCAAAAAAAAAAAAAAAAGACTTCTACTCCCCTCTTTGATCTGGTGTACATCATAGTAGATATTTTATTCTGCTGCTAGAAACTTTAACCACATCTTATGGTTTCATGCTGTTGACAACAGAGTAATATCATCAAACATGTTTTTTATTTGCTTGTTTGTTTTGTTTAAGACAAGGTTTCTCTGTGTAGCCCTGGCTGTCCTGGAATTTGCTCTGTAGACAGTGGTGGCCTCAAACTCACAGAGCTCTGCCTGCCCCTGCCTCCTGAGTGCTGGGATTAAAGGTGTGCACCACCATCACCCAACATCAAACATGTTTTGTGTGTATTTGTTTGCTTGTGTTTGAGACAGGATCTCACATCTGTCATGCAGATTGGCCTCACACTCATTATGTAGCCAAAGGTGATCTTTGAACTTTTGATCCTTCCACACTCACCTTCCAAATGCTAGGGTCACAGATGTGTGCCACTGTACCCAGCATGCACAGTACTGGAAGTCTAACCCAGGGCTTCTTGAATGCTAAGCAAGTGATCCTCCACAGAGTTCCACCCTACCTCCCCCGACCCCTGTCAAATAGCCTTTGTGCTTTTTCTCTTAGGTTCAGAATACTGCACATGTCTATTAAACCTGCCTAAGGTTAAGGGATTTGTCTGAAAGTCCAACCTTAGTCTGCATCTACCTTCATCACAAAAGCCAAAAATACTTTAATGTAGTTGGAGGGTGTTATTCAATGGTAGAACATGTGCTCAGCATGTATGAAGCTCTGGCCTTGACCTCCAAACACACACACACACACACACACACACACACACACACACACACACACACACACGGGGGGTGGGGTAGGGAGAGGGAAAAAGAAGAGAGAAAGGAGGGAGTGAAGGAAAAAGAAAGGTTTAACATAAAGTTAAAAACAACTTCAAAACTTGAGCCAAAAATAAATAAAAATAAAACAATCACCATTTAGTTACAGTTCTCGAAAGCTTTTAAAGAATATCATTAGCCTAGAAAAGTATTAGTTTACATAAAAATCACCAATGACTGAAGAGATTGAAAAACACAGAGAAAACTAAGCTTTCATCTAAGTATTACTGCCGAATAATGATCAACTAAAAATGAAGATAGATCAGAGTTCAAAGCACAGTGTATATTAACTATAAAACATAGTCCAGTTTTCAAAATAAAGCTTATGCACAGGTTATGAGACCCAAGCATTTCTGAGTTAAGCAGTAAAGGATTTTTAAAGCTTACACTAAATTAAAAAACTAAAGTTTATTTAGAGAAGGTGGTCAGCTAGTCATCAGAGCAGGCTGTGGTCCCAAGCTGAGGGAATCTCGTGCTTTGTGGGAACATAGTCCATCACTGAAGACAGCAAAAACCACACACATAAAAACACAAATGCTGATGAGGTCCAGCTGTCAGTCAGCAGCTCTCTAGAGACAATGGGCTTGGAACTGAAATGATGTAGAAACATGCACAATTTATAGAGAGCGCTCACCCAGGGCATGGCCATGGGTACAACCTTCCTAAGTCCCCTGTAAACACTGCCCCCCTCCTTTCACAGGACACCTGTGAAGGGAATTTAGAATTTCGAGAAGTCTCTTTCTTCTATCCATGTCGCCCGGAAGTTCCTGTTCTTCGTGACCTGTCCCTGAGCATCGAGAAAGGGAAGACTGTAGCCTTTGTTGGGAGCAGCGGCTGTGGGAAAAGCACGTGTATTCAACTGCTACAAAGATTTTACGACCCCATGAAAGGACAAGTGGTAAGATGGACTTAGAACACCCAGGCTGGGGGTTAGTGACAAACCCTTACATGTTCAGGTAAGCCTAGGTTACCCAGTAGAGCAAACACAAAACCTAAAAAACAAAAAAGTTCTGTCCTACTCTTGCCTAAGAAAACTGCAGGCCCATAGCAAAACCAGTGGGAAGGACTTCGAAATTAAGTACAATGACCCAAGGGATCTTGAGCTTTCCTGACAGCTGTAATTTTTACCTTAGAAGCTGTGGAATTCTTTTGGAATACGGGCGTGAGGGCAAGTCCGTTTTTCTTCACACGGTATCACTGCTCCCTACCCCTTCTGGCTTAAGACAGATAATGGTCTCAGATAATGGTCTCCACCCCTTGGCTGATCTCACTGGCCTTCCACACCCTCAGCTGTCCAGACCTTTTGCAAGGCTAAGGCTTTTTTCAAATCAATCTCCATTGAAAAGAAACAATCTCTTCCTCCTTTGAACCCAAAGATTACATTCCTTACCTTACTCATATCTATTATATCTTATATGCCTCACGTTCTGTGTTCCTATTGCCCTCCCCCACCACTGTATCTCTCCTCTCCCTCCTCCCCTTCTCACACACACAAAGCTTGCATCTTGCCCATTCCTTCATAGAACTATAGTTCCCTAAAAGTTAGAGGCTGTCATGTTAACCCTATTCTGCTACAGTTTGCAGTCTTTTTCCATTACAGATTCTCAGCAAACACTTGGAAACTAGAGCTGCTCATAAAGCTCCCTTGAACTGGGTGATACCTATCTATTTTCAGGTAGCATATACACTCTCCCTACTTAAAACTACTGGGGGATGGCTCCCTACTAAGCAAAAGCAAAGTTTAACAATATCAAAGCCCTTCACTGTCTGGTTCCTACCTCCTTCCCCAAACTTCCTCTCCTTACCCCTCTCACCGTGTGCTGAACATCCATCTCCCCAACTTCTGTGTGCCTTTTTTCTTGCTGTTCCCCACTTACTCATTACATCTCAAGTGCTGTCTGTGTCTCATCATTTATGGCTTAGTCTCAAAGTCCCTTCCCACAGCCATCCGAGACATCCTCTGCCTCAGCCCCTCTCTGTTCTGTTACCCTGTCTTCATGTCACCCTTCCTTTCTGAGCTGTTGGTGAACTTAATGCCTGTCAGTTGGAATATGAACTACTATGGTGAGGGGGGAGTTTTGCATTGTATTACTTTCCCAGCGCCTAGAGTCGTGGGCACACAGAAAAGCATGTTCATCAAACGGCTGTGTGAATAAATACATATGTCTCAGAGCAAAGTGCCCATCTCTACAGGTAGACTTATTCATCAATATGTGCCAGCTCTTTTTTTGGGCATCAGTAATGGAGTGTTGTTACACTCGAGGGGAGGTTGATCATTTTCTATGTGACTTCAAGGCAGAGTACTAGGTATACTCCAATCCCTGCTGTTATTTCTAGAAGTGTATGTTTGGAATCAACCTTTCAGTGAGCTGGGAGCTGGGAGCTCCTGTCCAGCAGGTGATTTATGAACCTTCCTTGGGCAACATATACTTCAAAAAATAGCTTGAATTCCTAGGTTTCTTGTTATGATTTGTTTATGTGTGAATACCATGAAGTGTAATGTGACAGTTGTTGGATCTTAAAAAACCAGTCTCCACTCTGCTCTTGCAGCTGCTTGACGGTGTTGATGTAAAGGGGCTGAACGTGCAGTGGCTCCGTTCCCAGACCGCCATCGTCTCCCAGGAGCCTGTGCTCTTCAACTGCAGCATCGCTGAGAACATCGCCTATGGTGATAACAGCCGCACGGTGCCCTTGGAGGAGATCAAAGAAGTTGCAGATGCAGCCAATATCCACTCTTTCATTGAAGGGCTCCCCAGGGTAAGAAAGCAGCTGAAACCTTGAGCTGCAGAGCTGCCAAATACGGAATGTGATACAGTCTCATCAAGGTTAGATGTAAAAAGCAAACCTGGTTTTCATGTATTTTTTGCAAGGCTGATTGCCATTCATATATAAGGCACTGGGCTTTCACATGCTATGTCTTTATGTGCTTGCGCTCTGCCTTGGGTGAGGGTATGAATTGAAAAGACATGGTATCACTTTGAACTAAGTATTTGGGGTGAAATAAAAGTGAACCTTGTGATTTACTGAATTTTCTTCAGATAGATTGTGTGTGTGTGTGTGTGTGTGTGTGTGTGTGTGTGTGTGTGTGTGTTCAGACAGGGTTTCTCTGTGTAGCACTGGTTGTCCTGGAACTTGCTCTGTAGACCCGGCTGGTCTTGAACTCACAGAGATCTGCCTGCCTCTGCCTCCCAAGTACTGGGATTAAAGGCCTGTGTCACTACCTCCAAAATCGGGTTTGTTTGTTTGTTTGTTTTTAAAGGCAGGATCTCACTATGTGGTTCTAGCTGACCTGGAACTAACCATGTAGACCAGACTGGCCTCTAACTTACAAAGATCCATCTGCCTCTGCCTCAAAGGTGCAGGGATTAAAGATACGTGCCACCACACCTGGCCAAGAATAGATTTTCTAAAGCAAACAAATGGATCTCAACATCTGTCCAAATATAAGACTACAGTATCAATGTAAAACTCTGAAAGACAAGGCCAGTTTTTTTTTTCCAGAATCCTCAATATGACAAACATACAGAAGACTTCAGACATCTAGATTTTACCAATCTTATTTCTCCAGGAAATAGCAAATTTCCTGATTGCCACCCTGCCAGTCTCTGAGGACTTATTTTACCTTTATTTCAAATTTATGGATTCACCTATCTGTCATGTCCTGATAGCTCAAAATCTGCACTTCCTTTCCTCATCCACACACAGTTATGAATTTATTTCATTGACTTAACACACAGCTACTCAGCCTTGCTCTTTGAGTATTACTTGTGGAAGATGACTCAGACAAACCAAATGCTGTCCTACGCATACAGAAATCACTGAAACGCACACAGAGCCTTCTTTGTTGTGAGCCCGTGAATATGATGTGCATGAAGGCAAGGCAGCAGAGACGACTGATGTGCTCACAGAATAAGTGGTGCCCCGTGTGATAAAGAATGCATCACACCTGTAATCCCAGGACTCAAGAGGGTGAAAGGAAGGACTGCATGTCTGAGACCACTCTGGCCTTACTAAGAGTGTCTCAAAAGTCTTAAGTAAGAATGGACGCAGAGTGATAGGTGGTTGGACTAGAGAGAGGAATATATACACGAGTAGTATTTGATGAGTGTGTGAAGGAATGATGAAGCACTGAAATAGTCAGGCTTAGATTCGGTTCCTGTAGCTTTCATCAAATACCCTGAAGAAAGCTACTTAAGGTAGAAAGGATTTATTTGGCTCTCAGTTCCAGGCTACAGCCCATCATCTCGGGGAAGTCAAGGTAGCAGGAATCTGAAGCAGCCGACACTTTACATCTACGGTCAAGAGCAGAAAACAAAGAATGCATACATGCCTGTGCTCAGCTCCTTTCTCTACTCACACAAGCCAGGACCCCTTCCTAGGGAATGCTGCCACCCACAGAGGGTTTGTCTTCCCACCTCAGTTAAAATAGTCAAGATAATTCCCCATACACAGGCCCACAAGCCACCCTAATCTAAACAGTCCCTTATTGGGACTCCTTTCCCACATGATGTCTAGATTAGTGGATAATTAAGACTTTCCATCGCAGCAAGCAAAGAAATTTTAACCATAATAGTTGCTAAATACTTACTGAAGGTTTGCAGATGGGAATGATGTTCAAATCGGATATTTACTCATCCAGCAGCAATGGAGTGATGACATGGAGTGATGAAGAGACAGTTAGGAGATCCATTAGGAGAGTTTAGGGACTGAGTTCTTAAAAGCCTAAATTCATAAATATAATGTGATAAGAAAATTGATTTTAAAGAAAGATGAAAATGAAAGTAAGCTGGTTATGGTGGGGCATGCCTATAATCTCAGCACTCAGAAGGACCCTGTCTCAAAAACAACAAAACAAGCAAAAAACAAAACAAAGCAGAATTGGCTCAAGACTGTACAAGCAAGAAGAGACTAAGCCTCCTACTGAGGCAAAACTCAAGCAGTAGTCAGAGTTCCAAGTGGAAAAAGATAAGAAAGCTGCACAGAGGATATTCCTTTGAACTGGACTTTGAAGGCTGCATAGGAGTTCTCCAGACAGGGAAGGGTAAAACTGTTTTGGGCAGATAAAATAAAGACACAAAGCAATATAGATACCTAAAAGAAGCTTTAGACACAAGGGAGATCTTAAGATCCTGACACATAATGTCAAACAATAAAGAATTGAAGTGAGGCCAGTACAGAGCAGTACTAAATGTGAAAATCCCCAGGCTGAAGTGTTTGAACTGTCTTAATAGATAGGTGTGCCTCTAGATGTTTTTAGACAGAGAAATGACATGATCAGAAAACAGTTTAGTTTTTTAGGAAGAGCTAGCTTGTCAGGTAGAGGCACTTGCCATCAACACTAAGGACCCAAGTTCTGTCCCCAGAACACCCATGGTGAAAAAAGGAGAGCTGCCTCTTCTACGCTTGTCCTCTGACCTCAGTGTGCACACAGTGGTCCACGGGTGCCAACACACACACTCGCACACGCACACAGTAAGGGAATTTTTAAAGAATTCTTGTGTATATATATATTAGATAAGGTCTTGAAATGTTGACTGTATGTTAAGCTTGCCTCTCGATTCTTCCTCCTCTTCTCTCTAAATGCTGAGATTACAGCCTCTGGCATTGTCCCTAAGGATGGCATTTTTTT